CAGTGTAATGAGAATTTGTCATCCTTACCTGAATACAACTCCTGTGATGAGCACTTGGAGCTTGATGACCTGAACTTCAGGCTGTTCAAAGTGATCCTACCCAATCTGCTATATACCAACTAAGTTCAGTTGTTTCACATCAAGAGTATCCCAGATCCCAGCACTCGGGAGGCTGAGGCAGGAGGATCACTGTGAGTTTGAGATCAGCCTGGGCTACATAGTAAATTCCAAGTCAGTCTCAACTACATAGTGAGACCCTATCTCAAAAAAACCAAAAAAAAAAAAGAAGTCACATGCAGTGACTGATCTAGGCCATCTAGGTTAGCCTACATATACTCTGTGGTGTCCACACAATCACAGATATCACTTAATGGTGTGTCTTTCAAAATGTGTCCTGGTTGTTAAGTGACCCATGGTTATTTAATAAAAGCAATAGTTGTACACTAATGTAACTCAGAAGCCATACTCTGTTCTTACATAGGGATTGCTGCACAAACAAGTTGATCGACATAAGGGCAGAGGTAATGACAACCTTTAGACTTTAAATTCACAAGAAGATAGAATATAATGCACACTGATCCTCGGAACTGTTCATCCTCCAGCATTTCAAAGGTTACTCACCCCAAGAGATTATTCAGCCCTGATATAACACAGTCTGTGAGAATGAAAGAACACTACTTTAGTGCCAAAGCCCATAGATCTGAATTTCGAAAGAAGCCTGCTTTGTGGGAGGATATGGGCTTCGTCCCAGCTGTTTGGGAAATCTGTGAGCCGGAGGAAGATATGACTGTCAGAGAAGACACCTGATGAGTTCCAGAACTTCATTTCAGGGAAGTATTTCACAAGACTGGCCAATATATCAAAAGCGGCTAAATACGCCCGCGGAATGAAGTGTATTGTGGGTGGGTTGATGGGATTCATTTGTGAAAAAGCCTGCGTCCTAACATCCTGCCAGGCAGCAGAGAGCTGAGCAGAAGCAGTGAAGAGTACAAAGAAAGGAGAACATCTACGAACAAGACTCCCCGAGGTTTTGCCACCATGGTAAAAAGAAATGGAGCTTTGACTGTCTGCATAGGGCAGGTCAAGCTCACCAAACACTTTCTCACGTCTCATCCTTTGAGAAAACTTTGAAAACATAAAGTTATCTTTTATAAATGAATTAATATTTTTCTAACATTTCTCATGGTCATGCTTTTGGATCTTCTTCATAGTTATGAATCCGGTCCCTTCATAACTAAGGGACTTTAAGGATTATAGACTATTTTCTAGCTCGGAAAATGAATAAGGCAACATGTGCTACATTTATTTTGCAGGATATAAATAAACCTATCCATGACCTGGTAAAATGTGAGAAAAGCATGAGTTTTAAAAGTCTGTGTTCATCCAGTGAAGCTTTTCCTTTAAGAATAGTTACTATGCAGAACTCAGTACTTACACAAAGTGATTTACTTTAGCCAAGGATTCCTTGCTTTAAAAACCTTTCCAGTTGAGCTATTTTTCATACCAAATTCTATAGTACATCTTAAATGCTTGATGGGGGCTAAAGGTCTAGCAGTTGCTTTGCTTGTGTGAGACTGTGGGTCACATTGACAAAACATTAAAATAATACAATAAAATGCTTGAGTTGCAAATATAACACCAATACATAAATTCTCAATAAAAATTATTATTTCAAGTGAGGATCACCTATATTTTCATAGGTGAATGAAGTATTAAAATCACAGAGTGCATCGGGCAGGGATATAGCTCAGTGGTTCTGCTGCCTACCTCTCAAGCAAAAGATCCTGAGTTTGAGCCCTGGTACAAAAAACAAAAACAAAAACAAAAGAACAGAGTGCATGAAATATCCCAAAATACTCATTCAGTGTATGGTCCCAGGGACAATTTATCCCGTATAAACTGACTGAAAAATGTTCAGCATTTTTCACTCAGGATTAAGAATAATAATTCTCTCACAAGTTACTTTGACCTCCCAGATCTGAGAGTTTATAGATTCCTAGTTTAAATCAATGAACTGCATTTAATAATGGGGACTTGAATGTGCTTTTAAAATTAATTCTTCAGTTTTAACTTTAAGCCCTAGCATGTTCCAGGTTCTATGGCACTTTCTGGGAGAGAAATGCAGAAGGCAAGATAGATATAGGCCTTCTTCATCTATGAAGAGCTTACAGTTTAGTGAGAAAGGCAGACAGAAATTACTACCAGCTATTATAAATATTAGGAAGGCAAAGCACAGGGTGCAGTAAGCTGCATGCAGGGAACAAGCCCTAGGCTAGCAACTTCAGAAAGTGGTGACAGAGTGAGTGACATTATTGCTGAGAAAATGCTCTGGATTATAACAAATATTTACTGACATTGTGCTAAAAGTCCATTAAAAGCTCATTTAAGCCTTGTTGCTCTTGATTAAATTGGGTACTTTCATTATCCCACTTTGCACATAGGGAAACTGAGGTTTAGAAAGCCCAATTAGCTGGTTAAAAGAAATCACAGTTAGGAACTAACAGAATGCACGGTTTAAGCCAGATGATGAGCCCAGAATATGTATGCATGTATGTATGTGTGTTAGTTACTTTTCTCTTATTGCTGAGACAAAATACCCAACAACCAAAGTTAAATGGGAAAGGGTTTATTTAGCTCACAGTTTTTAGAGGTTTCAGTCCCTAATCAGCTGGCTCCAAGGCAGGGTGGCACATGGCAGAGGGGCATTGCAGAGGAGAAACAGTTCACGGTACCCATATAGTAGCAAAAGCAACAAGGACCTTAACAGCATTTTTCTGTCTCTTTTATCTCATCCAGGCTACTGGGACTAGAGGGATGCCAAACCAATCACTCAGGTATAGTGGTTTAGTAAATACATTCCCTTAATCGCAGCATCACACATTTCAGATTCAGCCACCTCTGGAAAAGAAAGGCCCACCTCATCTGCATGAGGCGTCTTTGAAGGAACATCTAAACACCAACCACAACATTATGTATTGTGGTACGAGGGATTTAACCCAGGGCCTTGTTCATGCTGCTAGGCAAGTACTTTACCTTTTAGCTGTATCCCCAAGCCCCTTTATTTCAAGATGGTGTGTCACTAAGCTGAGCTGACTAGCCTTGAATGTATGGACCTCCTGCCACAATCTTATAAACAGATGGGATTACAGGCATGTGCCACTGTGCTCTGTTTATATATTACATTCAAAGCCATTAGTCGTAGAATAACTACAGAGAAAAGGATGAGACAAGTGAAGTAAGTAAAGAAAGAGTAAGAGTATTCCTGATGAGGAGTAACTATGATCTCAGATAACAAAGAACGCTGGTTATGAAAAATATGTGCATTTGGCTAATGCAGGGATGGTGAACCTCTTCGAGCTTTCAATGATACAAAACATGCACTGCAGCACAGTACTGCAGGTTCACCACTGCTGGGATGATCTAACTAAAACTAGCGAGTAATCACGTCTCCAAACAGAATCTAACTTCTATGTTAAAAAAAAAAAAAAAATCCCTTCATATAAAATATTAGTAAAGACTGTCACCTAGTGGCAAGAGGCAAGATGCAGTTTATGAGATGAATTATATATACATCAGCTGCTTACCTGGGGACAATGACTTATCCCTTTCCCTGTCTATTGTGCGTATTCCCAAATTGTTTTTCTAGAAATAAAGTACAGTAAGCTAAGCATTGTGACATCGAAGTAGCCACATCTATTTTTGACTGAATTTACAGACACATACACACACACACACACACACACACACACACACATGCACACAACAAACCCTCAGAGAGACCCTAGGACTTAAGACCTTACATTGTACTTCATCCTTCCATGACTTGAGTTAAATAAATGTAAGCCCACAGAATAGGGATTGATATAATTCATAACTAGTAGATATGTTTTATTCAACAGTGAAGATTTGGGTCACTCTACTGGATAAAGAGCCGCAATTAGTTGCAGTACTGTCAGAAAATAAAAGGAATATGCAATGGGTACTGAAAAGTAGGTCATAAGCAACAACGGAAATCTTGTAAAAAGTTGCTAAAATTAGCATTCTATTTTTTTTGTATGCATACATATCTTTAACAAAAGTGAGTTCTTGGCAAGTAAAAACCATAACTTATCTAAGAATGCAGTGCTAACTAGAACTGGCTTAATTGATAAAATCGACTGAAAAAAAAATCAACTTGAAGGTGTCCTGGAGGGTGTCCTGAAACGGGTCCAAGAAAGAGATTCCACACTAAGTTATTTAAACCCTTATTTTCCTCCAATATTCACGAGAGTTCTTCACTTAGGATACACCTTTTCATGCAGCCTAGGTATTTTTTCCTCAAAGAAGTCATCCTATCTCTCAAAGTGAGCAACTTTCCATGTTAGACGTATAATCTTAAAGGTACAATAGGAACTCAACAGATTTAGTGCACTCAAATTCAGACATAAATATTATTGAGTATATGGGCTAGAACTCTTTATGTTGCAAGCAGCAGAAACCACAGATCAAAAGTGTCTTAAGAACTAAACAGCATAGGATTATCTCTAGCATCTCAAGAGGCTGAACGCTGGGCTTGAGTGGGATGATCAGAACTCTCTCCTCCCTCCCTATTTGTCATCTTTGCTTTTGATTCCATTCTCAAGCTGACTTTTGCTTCATAAACCCAAGATGGAAGCTTAAGGCTCTGGGATACAAAGTTTAACTACACGGAATAGATTAGTCTGTTCAGGCAACGGTAATAAAAGATCAAACTGGTGGCTTAACAACATACTGTATTTATTTTCTCACAGTTCTGGAGACTGGAAGTCCAAGATCAGGTATCATCAGGGTTATTTTCTGGGGAGGATTTTCTCCTTTTGTAGCAGACATCTGTCTTCCCTTTCTGCTGTGTCCTCACAGCAGTCTTCCTTTGTGTGTATGTAAGGAGAGAGGAGAGAGGAAGAAAGGGAAAGCAGCACTTATATTTTGTGTTTCTTCCTCTTATTATAAGGACACCATCTTATCAATCAGGGCCCCACACTTATGATTACATTTAACCTTAAAGGCTGTATTGTTAATCTTTCCCATTGATAGTGTGAGGACCAAGTTTTCAGGTCAAGGTTGGCTCCATGCCCCTTACCCAAAATAGAGTGAATGCAAAAGTTCCTTTCTGTAAAATTCCATTCTATGTGACAGTCTCTCTGTGTTTCTGTTCCTCTTTTAAGGGCAAGTTATCCTAGGGCATCTCCACCCTGTTTCTGTTTCTCTTTTAAGATCCCAAGGTGAATTCTTTTCTGTTTGATTTAATTAATATAGGAGTTATTCATAGCTGACATAGGTAGCCACTTGCTAATATTCTGGCTTGCAAAATCAGATGATCTAATAAAAAGAGGAATTGATTCTGCAAATGTAGGCATCAGGTAATTTTCCAATAAGTGCCCTCCCGGTGCCCCTTGAATATCCAATGATATGTAAAAGCCCTCCCAGTACCCCTCAATTGTCCAATGATAAGCGAGAGCTAAAAATAGAAACTATATAAGCAAAAAGTTTCCTTAATCCTATATAAACCCGCTTCAAAAATGGATCTGGGCTCTCGGTCTGAAGCCGCTGTGACAGTGACACCTGAGAGTCCAGGCTCGAGCTTGCAATAAACTCCTCTTGCAATTGCATCAGACCTGACTTCTTGGTGGTCTTTGGGGACTTCGCGACTTGGGCATAACAATAGTACCTGACATTCATAATTTAAAAAGACAGAGATTTAATTTGGCTTACAGTCTCAGGGGGTTCAGTCCATATTGGCTGGCTTCAAGGCAGAAACATCATGGAAGGTAGGGACAGCAGAGCAAACCTGCTTAGCTCATGGCAACCAGGAAACAGAGCAAAGGAAAAGAGCCAAAGAGGAGGTGGCAAAGGACCACACTTTGTATAGACCCCACTACACACCTCCATGACCATCACTGTCTTAGTTACTTTTCTGTCATTGCTGAGACAAAATACTCAGCTCCCCAAGTTAAAGGGAAACACACTTATTTAGCTCACAGACTGTGGAAGATTTCAGTCCATAATTGGCTGGCTCCAAGGCAAAATGGCACAAGGCAGAGGTTGTTGCAGAGGAGAAACAATTCACGGCACTCACATGGTAGCAAAAGCAACAAGGGAACTAACAATTGTCTTCCTGCCCCTATTATTTTATTTAGACTTAGGGTGGGTAGCACTCACACCCTTAATCCTAGTGCTAATCGGGCCTAGTCCTACAGCATGAATTAATCACACAGTCTAGATTCAGCTACTTCTGAAGAAGAAGCCCCACCTCATTCCCATGAGTCTTTGGGGGGACATCTAAACACAAGCCACAATACAGAAAAACACATGCAGAAGTGTACTTTATAATCCCCTGGGTGGTTCCCAAATCAATCAAGTTTACAATCTACCTTCATTATCTCATAGGCCCAGGATCCATATACAGTCTTATTTAGAGATTTGGGGCTTCATCTTTCAATTTGGAAGGATATAGTTTGGTCCATAACAGAGAGAATCAACAAAATCCATTTTCCCAGCAGTCACAGTGAAAAATTTCATTGATTTAGAACCAAGTACTATAGTCAAGATGTCGGTCTCCTAGAAGTGAAGAGCAGAATCAATTGTAAAGACTCCATGTAGCTGAAAATGGAAAGAAAGATGACCTATTCAAATAATGATATGCTTTTGGCAATAAAAGAGGAAGACACTGACCCTGGGAAAGTAACCAATAAATGTTCACCATGCTAGGATGGTACAGCTTTGCTCTGGATGAGGAGTTCATCTATTTAGAGAAAAATAGTACAGTAATAGGTTTCATTAGGACTTAATTGCAGGTCCAAGAGAAACTACAGACTGGGTTCATTATCATTATTACCATTAGGCAGTCAAATCTGCCTATCTGGTAAAATTTATTCATTCTGCTATCTAAACACCACAGTGGAAGTTGTGACAATTCAATTTCCTTGTCTTCTCTCAGATGGCTGTTTTGTTTCTCTTGTCAAAGGGACCTATTCCTGATATTCCATGGATTAGGTCAATTTCACATTCTGAATCTTTTTTCTTTCCTTAAGTTTCTTCTCTGTCTCAGACATTGCACAAGCTTCAATGACCATAATTTTCAGTGTAATTTTTCAGCACTGCATCAGCATGTCATGTAAATCATAGGACTTTATTAACGGTTCTTATTTCCAGACTCTGTGAATCAATGTCATGAACTTGTTTTTGTTAGAGCCCAACAAAGACTAGCTTACAACTCTATTAAACATGAAGGAAAAAGAAAATCGAGGCCACCCACTAAATAAGAATATATTCTTTGGTAAATGCCTCTTCCACTAAACTCTAAGCTCCTTGCTTACAGAGACTCTTCATGACTAGTACCAAAAATAATTATTTTTTTCTGTTTATTGAGTTTATTGGTACATTTTAGGTATACAGTACAGTTACATTCATTATTGGGATCTTGTACCTTTACATGACGTCTTGGTTCTCATTTTTGCCCCTTGTCCCTGCCCTCCCTTCACCCCCTCCTTCCCTCCCTATTTACAAACACTTTATTTCCATTTTTAAATTTTCTCATATTTTTTTCTTTTCCAAAAATAATTATTAAATAAGATCGTGTCAAAGTAAATACAGCCTTTGATTTCAATGCAATACCCTTTTCTGCATCATTTCTCATAACTAAATGGACTAAAAAAGTCACAGTGAAGGAAAGATGAGAAGTTTATTACAGCAATGTATCCCAGTTTTGAAATGCAACAGTATTTGAAATTATAATAGGGGGGTCATAGTGGATTTTTTGTTGTTTCTCAATATCTAGAATCCATTCCCATGCCTGATGAATCCACTATGGTGTGAGGAGGTATTGCCCCATCTCTCATTATGTAAATTCAAAATGACAGGTATAAGGTAGATTTTGTTTTGCTCTTTCACTTTTTCATATTTAGGGTATGGTATACAGACATTGTGCAGTTATGGGGATCTACATCTGGAACTGTGAATAAAAAGGATATGTTAATCTAAGAGGAAGAAATACTCTAGAATTCATTTCACTTGTGACGTCTAGTGTTTAGTGATAGTACCAAAAGCACTGTATCCAGATTAGTCCTAAAGAATGAGCTAAATTATGTCAAAAAGACAATTACAACAAACTTGAAGATCTTAATTGATATTGACTTTCGATTCTTAAATCAGCCCTCAGAACCAGGAGAGATTTACAGAGCTCCTGCTACCAAGTGATCAGGCAGCAGTTATGAATAGAAAACAAAACTCAGGCACAGAGACAGCTTGATCGGTTATAGATCAGCATCTTGCCTAATCTGAATCTGCTGCCCACCTACAATTCACTAAGGTCCAGCTACTGGTATTTAGCATAAATTATTCCATATTGGGCTGGCTTATTGGGCCCAGTAAAGGAACCTGGCACAAATGAACGATCCTCTCCAAATCTTTTTTTTTAAAGGTAGCAGTTTTACATTTATTAAAAATAGGAAAAGAAACAGGCTCCACAGAGGGAATTTGAGCCTAGTAAAAGTAGGCAAAGAAGAATGCTGTACATCACGAGGGTGGACTACTGTGAAAGAACACAAGAGCGGAGAGCTCATGGCCACTGTTGCTTTCGTATCACCCACTTCTCAGGGTGATATCAGGTCTAGGCTGTCCTATCCCAAACTGCTTGAATTCTTGTGAGAAGTCCATGTCTAGGGTGTTGAGAACTGTTCTGCACAGGTGTCCTGGGATTTTGTAATTAGCAGATCACACCTCTTCCCTAGCCTATTTACCTCACCTTAGTCTCCTGTCTCATTCCCCCATCTGCTTGCTAAATCCCTATTCACCCTCAAAGCTGAAGAGCATATCTCACCTGTGAGGCCTTCGCTTGGCAGCCCTACCTTGCGGGCCATGCGGAAATTCTCTGTGCGCATCCCCAGCCCCAGCATGGCCTTTAACGTGGTTTGCTTCTCACTGCATCCTAGACCTCTGTGTTTCATGTCCATCCTTCCCCAGCAGCCAGTGCTTTTTGATGAAGGACTTGTCTCTTCATTAGTCTAGGTTTCTTTTCTTTATCGATTCAGTCACAGTTTTATCCAAGTGTGACAAATCTTATTCACCAATCATGATATGGGGATCTTCTGTGACTTTGCTAATGTTGTCCTCTCCTCTTGAGATGCTCCCCCTAACACTGCCATCCTTCAAAGCTCTTCTTAGACTAGCTACCTGAACTGTGAAGTTCTAGATGAATATCCAGACCAAACAAGACTTCTTCCTTCATATAACTCCTTGAGGGTAGGGCATATAGTGCCCAGATGGTATTTTTATATAGCCCTGTAGTTATTTTTAAAAGTCACCTACTAATGCTAGAACATGTTGCAGATAGTACAGTTTATCTAGACAGGAGACAGAGAGACAGAGAGACAGACAGAGAGACAGATCTTGAGACTGCAATACTAAGTGAAATAAATCAGACACAGAAAGTTACTACATGATTTCTCTGATGGACCCAAAATATAATCATAAAAGAGCAAAATAAATTAGGAAAGGTAGGAAAAAGGGAGGTAGACCCTGTGGAGACGGAGAGAGGATCTGTGGAAGGAGGAGACAGAGAGACAGAGAGACAGACAGAGAGACAGATCTTGAGACTGCAATACTAAGTGAAATAAATCAGACACAGAAAGTTACTACATGATTTCTCTGATGGACCCAAAATATAATCATAAAAGAGCAAAATAAATTAGGAAAGGTAGGAAAAAGGGAGGTAGACCCTGTGGAGACGGAGAGAGGATCTGTGGAAGGAGGACCTGAGGAGGATAATTGGGGGCAGGTAACAAAAATCACCAAAAATGTGATATGTATATGTACCAAGTCTCCAAGAGGAATATAATTATTATGTATCACAAATATATAATAATAAAAAGGCGGCATTCTACAAAAATAGAATTGGAAGACATGTGAATGATAACGTAGAATTTTCCTTTCTCTAGTGACAGAGGAGAAAAAATTCAGAAAGATTTTAGATGACCTAATTTCAGCTGGTCATAACTGGGGTAGGTTAGATATCTTCCTGACTCCTGAATGGAAGAATCTCAATTGATAGGAGAAATGGAATTTGCTTTATTTACCTGAAAGCATGAAGGTGATTACAAATGAATAAATATCAGACTCATTTCAAGCCCAGATACATCTGCTTATAGGCATCACTGTTGCTTGTTTTAAAACCCAGGTAAATTATTTACAGTCTGGTTTATCTCTATCAGAAATAGAAATCAGCAAAGGAAACGAAAAAGAAATCTAGAAGAGTGTGGCATCCCTAGACATAAACTAAAGACTCAGTGAGAGTTACTGCAACACTGCAAATGTCCGGCCAAGAGAAGACTAAATATTGACTAGGGGATTTTGCAAGATAAGATGACTGGTGGGCTGGTGATGTAGTTTAGTGGTAAAGCACATACTTAGCCTGGCCCTGGCCGTTAGTTCAATCCTCAGTAACAACAACAATAAAATAAATTAGTGGAGACTTTGACAAGAACCAGTTCACTGTATTGGTTGGGTCTAAACCCCATCTGAAGTGGGTTGGGAGGAAAAGGTAAGAAAATGGAGACCATGAGTGCATTTCCCCATTGTTATAAATTTAAGCAAACACACGGAGTCCTAGCTGATTTGGGTCAGAGATTTTTTTTTACAATGGAAGTCATTATGCTACGTTTATCTGTTCCTAAGGAAGAGCCAACAGGGAAGAAACACTGATCATGAGCAAGAAAAGAGCTAGCGCCAGCTCCTCAAATAGGCATGCAAAGATGGACGCAGAACAGGACCTACATAGTCGTCAGCTATTACTCTTTCTGATTGCTTAAGTCTTCGAATAATGAAAGACATCAGGTGTACAAAATATTAAACACAATAAGCACTCAAGAGCTTGGACTCGAGTCAAACTACATTCGTTCAAATTCTATAGTTAGCACTAGGACACCTCACTTTTCTTCTTGGGGTTTTGTTTTCTGCTGTTGAAAACGAGGGGTCCTGACGGTCCACCACTTAGAGCTTTTGGGGTTTAAATGAGATGATTCGGGAAAAAGAAAGCACTGCAGTACGTAGTACAACGCACACACACAAAATGTCATAATAACTGTCACCCTGTCCCATAACAGTAACTGGGATCCTGGCTTATAAGGATTTTAGGCACTGTCACCGATTTGGGTTCCTGGAACCGAAAGTGACCCGGGGAGGGCCTTCAGAGAGCAGGCCAGCCAATCAAATGGCAGGGTGGACAAGGCTGATACAATGACCCTCACCGATGGTAATTATGTACTCTCTGACCTAGTGACAATGTTCCTCCAGAAAGCCCCGTCGTAAACAACAAACAAAATCGCAAACCACACAGAGCAACTAGAAGAAAAAAAAGCCTCTGAAATCAAAACGAACCAGGCGACCAGATTTGCGCCTGCGCAAAACCTAGAACGAGCCACTCGCACATGCGCACTCTCTGCAGTAGGCGGGACACTCTGGAGGAGGGTTTTCATACGTTTCTTCAGAGAGCCACTCGGGCGGGCGGAGTGTCTCGTGATAAGTGCTAGTTCTCGCGGGAACTGCATTCAAAAAGCTCTGGCGCTTTCCCGAGACTCACGGAATGAATGAGAGGATGTTTCCTTGGTGAGGTAGGGTTAGCGAATCTGGGCGTCCGGAGCAGTGCTCACCTGGAGCCACAGGGTGCTGCAGTTAGCGGAGTGAGGAGAGAGGTGAGGGCTTAAGGCCTGGTGGGGTGGTTGTGGAGGACATGAGTGGATGAGAGCAGGGATGAGCAGGGCCTAAGGAAACCTCACTGGGTCTCAGTGGCTCCTTGATCGTAACTTTTCCTCCTGGAACCCTGCGTTCTTATAAATCGGCTTCCGCGCCGACCTCGGTCTTGCGATGGACCTCCTGGCTGCCTTCCGGGATTCTGGATCAATATAGTCGGCCGATCGGGCTGCGGTGTGGTGACCCCTGGGTCTGCTGTGGTCCCTGGGCACTGTGGCTGCCCGAGTTAAATGCTGCAAATGTAAAATTCAACCTGGATTTAAAGACGATATCTAAAAAGTAGTGTCTCCATTTTTGTCGTGATCACGGATTGACGTGATATTTTGAATGCATTAGGGTTAAGTAAAGACTTTTTCATGTGTTTATTTCTTGACTCCTAGGAAATTATAAATTACGTGTATGACCGAGTTATATTTCTGTTGAACACAGCTGCCTCACCCGTGTCAGACTCTGGCCTAGGTACAGTACTTTGCAGCCATCATCCGTTTCACTATTCACAACCCTACTAGATGTTGGTTGCTCTCCTTGCTTTACAGGTGATGAAACAAAATGTTAAATAACTTGTTAAAATTCATGCAGCCAATGAGTGGTGGAGGTAGGATAAGAACTCAGGCAAATTGATTTCCGGAGCTTCCTGTCTTTTATACCCTTTGTATTTTCTGTGCTTTGAGAGGAAGGACAAAAAATTGGTTAGAGCACTAGGCTGTGGCCCTAGACTATGGTTCCACCTCTTTTGGCTTCTGAGCTTGAGCATGTTATTCAGTCTTTCTGTACCTTATTAAGATTGCACATATTAAAATGGGGGAAATGCTTTCTGCCTTCTAAGGTTGTTGAGCAGATTGCATAAAATCATGTATGCGAAGCCCTGTGCACAGTGTATGGCACATATTACTCTGCTTGTTTTTCAGCCTGGCTTCGTCTCTTTGCAGACTGATAGATTAGCTCTCTCTCATCCCTTAGGTCTCTGAGGAAAAGTCACTTTCTCAAGGAAATCCCTCTTGTCTGTGTTCTCTCTTACCTTTCCCCACTGTCTACTCCACTAGATTAGGACAGTTTCCCCTGTTTTATAGGCTCATGTAGCACCATGCATCTCTCTCTTTTGCTCTTTTCACACTTGTAACTTTACAGGTCAGTTATTTGATTTAATGCCCTGCTATTAATAGACTAGGATTCAGGAAGGCAGTGATATTGCCTTGTGTTTGAGTTACCACGGTCTCTTCAGCACCAGAACAGTATGTCCAAGTAAATCTTCTGAGTGAATAAGAATATATATTTTTTTCTTACATATTCCCCAGTGGTATGCCTTCAGGTTAACTCCATTTTTGCTTTGGTAGATGGAAATGGTGGTATTCTTTTAATTTAGGGTTATCAAGAGGATTAAATGAGGTAATGTACTTGAAGCACTTGTCTTGGCAAGTGGTAAATACTCCTAAGTGGAACAGTTGGCTGGCTTTGTGGTGTATAGGCTTGAAGAAAATTTTTAAAGTCTTGTGTTGTAAAGCAGTAAATGTAAACCTTTGATAAACCCTGGAACCTTTTTTTTTCCTCTCTTAAATCCCTGTATTTCCTCCCTCATGTTTGTTCCTAGTAAAAACTGCCTCCTAATTCAGTGATAAGTTGAAACATTTAGACAATCACTTGAACGTTTTTCCACCACTCTACCGACTTCTCAGCATTTGTACTTGTATGCTTTGTTTTTCCTTACTTTGGATGAAATACCCTTGCTGCCCTCCCTGTACATTAGATTTCATTGTCTTTGATCAGGGACATCACTGTTGCAGTTCTCAAGAGCCTCCTACATCGTCAATTTTTCTTTTGTATTTATCTCATAGTATACAAGTATGCTGTAATTTTCCATCTTAAAAGTTAAAAAAAAAAAAACCCTGCCTCTAGTTTTCTAACAATTACTCCATTTATCTGCTCTTTGCAGCAAAACTGTACTTACTATCCCTTTTGTCTCTTGTCATTCTCTCTCAGACTGATTCCAGGCATTCTTCATCCCACCTTTCCATCGAAACCACTCTTGGGATAGCAAATGGACTCCCTATATTCAAGCCCATTGGGCAATTCTTACTTCTGATCTAAGGACTTAGCAGGAGGATTTGGTCTGATTGATCATCTTACCTTCTTAAACTCTGTTTACTGGCTTCCAAGACAACACATACTCATAATTTTCCTCCCCCGTCCCTGGTAACTCCTGGGGATATTTTGCTGTCTTTGTTCCCTTGTCCAGACAGGGCTCAATTCTTGATCCTCTTCTCTTTAATTATACTCATCTTCTGGTGATACCAAGGCTGAAGGACTTATGCTGATTACTTCGAAATCTATAGCTCTACCCTAGACCTCTCTCCTCACACTTTAATTGCCTGCTTGATATCTTTCCTACCCAGAACATCAATTTCTGATTTTTCTGCCTTAAAACATTTTTACATAAATGTCTCAACTGAGGGCAACCCCTTTCTACTAATTGCTCAAGCTGGAAGTTTTGGAGGCATGTTAAACTCTTCTCTTTTCTCACATATGCCACGTTCCTTCTGCCAGAAAAATCACATTGGGTTTACCTTAAAAACATGTGCAGAATCTGGCCATTTTTTCCTGTCTACTCTGCTACCACCCTGATCTGAGGCAGTGTCTCACATGGTCTCTGCTTCCAATTTTGTTTCCTCCTAACTGTTCTACACATTAGGGAAATTATGCTTTTAAACTTAATCGGATCCTCTCCTCCAGACGCTGGAATGACTTTTTATTTTTCACAAAGTAGAAGCCACGTATTGCTTACAGAGTTCTATTGTGCCCTCTGTCCTTTTCCCCCCTCCCTTTTTGTTTTTCTTTTCAAGACAGGCTCTCGCTATATAGTTCAGGCTGGTCTTGGACTCACTGTGTAGCCCAGGCTGGCCTCAAACTTGCAGCAGTCCACCAACCTCAGCCTAGTGCTGGGATTATAGGCGTGAGCCACCACATGCAGTTATCACTCCCCACCCCCCTTTTAAAAATGTCTGACCTAAATTCCAGTTTATGTCTTAGGTTTTCTTTCTACTTTAGAGTTTCCCATCTGCCTGGAACATTCTTCTCCTAAAAAAGGACATAGCTCAGGGGTAAGGGGAAAAAATGAGAACCAAGACTTGTCATGTAGAGGTACAAGATCCCAACAATGAATGTAACTGTACTGTATCCCTAAAATGTACCAATAAACTCAATTAAAGCTGAAAAAAAAATCTTAAAAGAAAAAGGACATAGCTGATTTTCTCACCTCTGCCTCCTGATTAAGCTACCCCATTTTTTCTTGAGTTCCCTTACCCTCTGTTTGTTTTGTTTTTTTTTTTAGTTTCCATTTTCTGATGTATTTCATGAATATGTTGCTTACGCTTTGTCTCCTTTCCTGGAAAGTAAGTTACGTGAAGGGGGAAATTTTTGTCAGTTATATTTTTTAAGGAATCTGAAATGCCCAGAATGGAGACCAGCAAATAAGGCATTCAGGAAATACCTGAGTGCATAACTTCATTGACTTAAGATGTGGGCAAATATCATAGTAATGGCCTGATGCTGTTTGAAGGCAAAGCCGAGTTTCAGTCTGGCTTAAGAGAGAAACGGCCATATAAGACAGGAAGATGAGTGAGTTTGAGTTAAGGTAGAGTGGTCTTGTATATAATGCTTGTTTTAACTGGAACATCTAGAATGAGAACATAGTCCTTTGAGTGGTTTGAATGTGGTTTCTATTTTACAAGCCCTCTTAATAGCTAGAAAAATGCTAGTGAAGCTTTTCTCAGTATAGCAAATTCAACATACTCAGCAGGGTAGCACTTGTGAAAATCAGTTGTAATATTCCTTCCTGTATTTACCTTATGAGGTTTAAAGTCATCTTTTTATACTCTTAAGGAGTGGTCTTGATTTATTTCATTGTTCTCTTAACTTCAGTTGTGTTTTTATGTGGCTGTAGTGTTGAATATATGTTTCTTTTATTATTGATATAATTGCATGGAATTTTTCTGTAAGCTCAAAAATTGTATTTCCTCCATAGTAGGATAAAAATAGGTAAAGAATATGGAGGCAGATGTAATTGCAGATCTTCGAAGCAAGCTTAAAGAGGTTGAAAAAGAACGACTAACAGCTGCACAGTATGGTTTACAACTGCTAGAGAGCCAGAACGAGCTGCAGAATCAATTGGATAAATACCGTAATGAAATGATGACCTTGACCGAGGTAGGACTGTGGATTCCTCTGTTTGCAGACATGCTTTAAGGACATGCTTAGCTATATTACAGGTTTATTTTCTTCTAGCAGTTATTATTTTATTCTTTTCTGAAAAATCTTAATTCCTGTCCACCCTGTTGCAATTAAAGTAGAATGAACTAAATGAATTCCCAGTATTTCCAACTCCATGTGTTCTTCAGTTTGAAAAATGAAGTTATGATTACTCCTTTACCCCATTTACTGTCAGATTTGTTTTCTCCACATTAACTTAGAGCTCTTATTTCAGAGCTCTAAATGCCTCAATCCCTTAATCTCCCCGAAGTCTAAATTTAAGTGTTCAGCTGTCCTAATGGACATCTCCAGCTTGACATAAACAGAGTAGAATCCTTTTGACTAATCAAACATGCCTTCCTCACTTCTTTAGTAAATAGAGTAGCAGACATCCAGTTACTTGAAACAAAAATCTGGGAATCTCACATTTAGCAAATTTTACAAATTCTGCACATCATCAAATTCTAAAGATTTGACATGGAATATCTGGGCTACAACTGTTCTAGTCCAGACCACCATAATTTTTCTACTAGATTAATACCATCATCTTCTAACCAGGTTGCCTGCTTCCATCCTTGCCATTCATACAATTGTAAACTTACAAGCCAAGCCAAATTGTCCTAGAAAACTACATAAAAGATCATGTCACCTCCTTGCTAAAAACTTTAAGGCTTCAGTTTTACATATACATACACACACACACACACACACACACACAATCCGAACTCTTATTTAAGTTTGTAGATCTCTGTGGTATTTGACCTATGCCTAATCCTTTTTTTTTTTTTTTTTTAATAGCACTGGCTATCAAATCCAGGACCCAACTAATGCTAGTCAAGTGCTCTAGCATTGGGCTGCATCCCAAGCCTTTTTTGTTGTTGTAGAGACAGAGTCTTGCTAAGTTGCCCAGGCTGGCCTTAACAGCCTCTGAAGTAGCTGGACTTACAGGCCTGCACCACTATACCTGGCTTTGCGTAAACTTTTTACCTTCTGTCAAACTATTTTCCCTTACCCTTGACTAGACTAACCCTGATTTAAGAGCATTACACTAGCTATTTCCTCCTATTGAATGATTCTTTTCCCCCATCCTTCATGGACTGAGTCCTCAACACTCAGGTTCCAGTTAAACATCACCTTTTCAAAGCACCCTACCCTTACAACGTGAGGCAGGTGGCTGAACCACTGAGCTAAATCCCTGGCCCTACCCTACCAATGTAATATAAAGTTTTTATCATTCACTATTCTGTGAGGTGTTAATTATTTCCAGGATCATAAGTTCCCTAAAAGTGGAGGTTTTTTTCTCCTTGTTTTCTATTGTATTCCTAATGCCTAGCACACAGTTTTTGAAAAATAAATAGGTCTGTTTAATGTAGTAAATATGCAGTAGTATAGTTAAATGTAAATCTCAAAATTATGAATATAGGAAGTATAAATATCGATGGCACTTGCTTTTCTATGTAATGCCACTCTTGACCAAGAACTCAATACCAAGTCACAAAAGCAAAGGTAACCACTCTAACAGTAGAAAATTAAACCATGTTACACTTGTTTTAAACAACTCATCAAAGTTAGGTGTTAGTTTATCGATTAATGTTCTTTCTACCTTCTCTTAAAATAGAAAGGCTTTGCGGGAAATAATATGTACATTTTAGGTCTTTTTTCTCAAATTGAAATTAATTTTATTTTGTCTGATTTTGTAAAACTTGGTGAAGAAGTTTGAACTGATACCTTTTTATCTCTAAATGTTCCTAAAGTAAGTGAAAGCTGTTTAATACTTTTGTCTCAGCACTTTATCATTCTGGTAGTCATAAACATTCTCAGATGATTGTGTTCTAAAAGTCTAATTCACTATTTCTTTTTTTTTTCCATCTATTCCACTATTCTTTTTTTTTTTTTAGCTCTACAAATAGAGCACTTCACTATCAAACTAGTAGTGTTCACTAGGCAAATTGAAGTGCTAATAAGTCTTCTTCCTTCCTTTCTCTCCCTTAGCAGAGATACACTGACATGCGATGCAACAGTTTTTATTTATTTCACAGAGCTTAGAAGCTAGTACCACATAAAATGTCCACACTGCTTAGAAGCAGTGGTACTAGTGACTGAAGCCAGTTTTTATACTGAGCTGCATCCCTGGCCCTTTTTTGTTTTACTTTGAGACTAGTTAAGTCACTAAATTGCCCTACGTGAGCTTAACTTTGCATCCTTCTTCTGCTTCAGCCTCCCAGAGTGCTGGGGTTATAGGCATGTATCACCGCAGGAAAGGTGACCACAGTATAATAGATTTTTAAGACATCACACTCCTATGACTTATATTGTAATTGTTCTATTGCTAGTTATGCTATTAGTCTCTTTCTGTGCCTAATATAAAATTAAACTTTATCAAAGATATGTATGTATAGGAAAAATCATAGAATATATAGGGTGTGGGGTTTTCTGACATATCTTCCATGGGGGTCTTAGAATGTGTCCCCTGCAGACACGATGGAAATGACATCTGACCCTCTGCTGAAGCTTAGACACCCAGTCTGACCTCTTAAACACTTACTCATTCTGTTATATTTTATGCATCAAAACGTGTGACATCTAGGCCCAGGTCTCACTGCTACTTTAAAATCACTTCCTTCTGTAAACCTACTCTGGTCCTGTCCTTAGTACCAGTTACTATGAGGTATTTTATTCCTGAATTATGTTTTTGTTTGCTCCTCTAGACCGCTCTCCTTGAGGCCACCACATTTTATCTATAACTGAGTTTCTATCACCTGGCATATTTGCTAGATTCTTACTAAATACTTGCACAGTGGATGGGAGAATGTTAGGTTGAGTGTCTCTGTAAGACTATTATGTTTAGGGTAGTGTTTCTGGTCTTTTGCTACTGAAAGTCACTTTACTTTTTCTTCATCTCTGTTGAATGGACACCATCTTTGACAAGATTCTGTTTACCAAACTAAAATATAGCTTACTTACAAAAAGATAGCCTACTAACTAAAAAGTAGCTTATTTTTCTAGTACTCCGTCAAATGCCTAGTTTTTGATCAGCATGAGATAAATGTGCTGCCACACCAGCTGATTGTCCAGCCAAGAGCAACAACCTATAAAGGCAGCCTTATGGTACTGGTCAACATGAGGTTTTCAGGTTTTGGAATCCAGAAAATGCTCTCCACCACCCCATTTCTGCTCCCCAGTGCTGGCTGCCAGCACAGCTGAGACCATTGATTGGAAAGTGATAAATTTAAGCCTTTTCTGAGACCGAGCCTGTATTCACTTCAACTTGAGTGTTTTGAGACTCCTCTGGTCTCATAGTATACTTGAGGGCTTCATTAAGACTAATTAGCTACGAAGTTATTCCAGATTTAATATGTGGTTGTTACATGGAAAGTAGCAAATGTATGAAATAGGAATGAAACGATTGAAGGTAAGAACTCATTATATGTAATGGCTTTAAGTGGTTTTTATGTAATTGAATTGTAAATGAATCTATTTTCAGAATTACGAACAAGAAAAATACACTCTTCAGAGAGAGGTTGAACTCAAGAGTCGAATGTTAGAAAGTTTGACCTGTGAATGTGAAGCTATTAAACAACAGCAGAAAGTGCAGCTGGAACAATTAGAAGAGCAATTGAGTAGAAGCCATGGACAAGAAATGAATGAACTAAAAAATAAGGTTTGAATATCTGTGTTTCTGAGCAAAAACTTCCTGTTTATGTAGCCACCTGTGAATATTAGGTGGTGAAAATTTTCTTCAGCAGCATCTATGCAAAATAGCCCAGATTAAGTTCTCTATCATTTTAATGTGGGGCATGGGAGCACTAAGAAATAGGAGAGTCCTTACTAATAGCCTCCTAATAACATACAGTCATTTAATTTGTTCACTGTGTATTTGTGGTGGTGTTGGCTCAGGGAGCAGCATAGCCTCCTAAAGTACACGGTATGTCAGTCCCCTTGCAGAAAGACCAATTCCCTCGTCTTTACTGTAGCTGGTGATGCACTTTGTAATTCTGCAGAACAAACTAGTAGCTCTTTTTAAAATTGATTTACATTAGAATTAACATTTTGTAATTTGTTTATTGAAGAAAAACCTATATGACCCAATTCTCACAATAACTTAGTAAGGGAAGTACCATTATTATCTTCATGTGGGAGAGGAGAAAGCCGATATTTAGACAGATAGAGTAAACTTGGCAAAATAAGGGTGCTAGGAGTGGTCAGTCACAATTTGAATTGAGTCTGGCTGATTGCAGAACCTGCATTGCTGAGTCTCTGTGCTTAGTCCAGTGATACACAGCACATGCTGGCTGTGTTTCAAACCAATACAAAATAGATAACATCTGTTCAGTGACTGCCCATTCCCTCCAGCACCCCCAACTATCCAGTGCCTATAGATTGCTTTAAGGATTCTAGATCTTTTACAATGGCTTCTCTTTGTGTGAAGACTTTTCTAGACCTCTAACAAAAGTTGCTTGACTTTTTTCCTGTTTTCTCAGAAGTGTATCTTTTAATTATTTGTTTGTTTGTTTTTGATACTGGGGATTGAACTGGGGTCCTTGAGCTTGTGAGGCAGGTGGTGGCACCACTGAGCTAAATCCCTGGCCTGTGTGTCTTCTAGTTTTAATTATTTGTGTAGCATCTTCTAAGATTTTTCCATGTACAACCTATACTGTTACCTAATTTTTCATTAAGTTAACTTGTTAAATGTTTTTCCTTTTTAAGTAGTGCTATCAATGAAATTGGATATTTGAGCTGGATTTTTAAAAATATGCAGTAAAACAAACATAACTAATACTTTTGTGTAGTAGATAGAGTTGTCTCACGTGACGACAGACAGTAAATCAGCTTGTCTGAAACTAACCTGATTTGAGAGACTGGTGACTGATGATGATGTAATCCCCCCCCCATGTACACACACACATACACACCCCGTATGTTGTTTTCTTCTTCGCTGTAGCTTTCATTACTAGGGAATGTTCAAGAACTGGGGCAAAGCCAGCTATAGAGATGGCTTTTGTTGGTCGAGCAGAGAGTAAATCAATTACAATATTCAGTCTTACTTATGTTCTCAACCATCTTGTGTCAAACACCTGGAATTTTAGTCAGTGTCTTTTTTCTCCTATGTAATACATCAGTAAACTGACCTTGACAATCTTGATCTAGACTGCTCCCACTCTCCAAACACCATCTTTCCCCTACACTACTACCACATCCTTCACACAGCACCTGATTGGTCAGCAACACTGCCTTCACATTGCTTCCAAGATCCAGGCTTACTCTGATTACGGGTATGGATTATTTCTGTGTTTATAACATAGGATGGGTGCCTGTCTGTTAAAAGATAGATGCCTAGCTTTGGCCAAATAGGACACTCCAGTAGTCATCATACGATAATTTTGGGTCACTTAGTAGTGTTTTTTAGAAAGATAAAACCTTTTGACTTACAAGAGTGTGAATTTTTCTTTTCACCTCAGTTAGAAAAACTGAAAGCGGAGTTAGATGAAGCTAGGCTTAGTGAAAAGCAATTGAAGCACAAAGTAGATCACCAGAAGGAACTCCTGGCTCATAAATCAGAGGAAATACGGATAATGTCTGAGCGTGTACATGAAAGCATGTCCTCGGAGATGCTGGCTCTCCAGATCGAGCTGACTGAAATGGAAAGTCTGAAGGTAATTTTTATGGCATGTGTTTTCTTTTGCATATTTTTCCATTTTTGTAATAATGCTTATGAGCTAGTAAGGCTAAAATGTCTTTAACCTAACTTTGATCTAATCAAAAAATGTTTTATGGAGGTTTTTAGATGGATTGCTTCATAAAATAGTTTTAGGTTACAGGATTATGCAAATCAGACTTTTAGATTAATTAAGGATTTAGAGGCATTTAGTCTGATGCTAGTTTGAGTCACAAAAGCCCAGTGCAAAAGGTAAGCACAATGAAAGTTGAAATTCATGCAAATGTAGGTTTTTTTTATTTCAGGCTATGGGTGATTAAAAACCTAAAGCATTAAATTCATAGGAAAAAAGTCATTAGAACCTTTTATTTTCCCTGCTGGAAAATTCAGTACTTGAAAATTTTTTAATATTCACCTGACAACCTTTGAGTAGCTCTTTAGTTTTAGTTTGGGTGTGAGCCACCACTAAGGTAAACGGAGACACTGCTAAAATGCAAGATTATTGAAGAGGATTTTCTCTTTTTTCAATTTCTGTTGAATAGACCACCCTCAAAGAAGAAGTGAATGAACTACAGTACAGACAGGAGCAACTAGAAAGTCTTAGCAATAACCTAATGCGCCAGGTGGACCGGCTTAAAGGGGAGAAAGAAGAGCGGGAGAGAGAAGTAGTTTCTTACTATAATGCCTTAGAGGTATTGTGATTGCAGTGATATCGTGTCTCCACTTCTTAATAACGTGCTTTCCTGCTTATCTAATCTCTGTGAGCTAAATTATTTTCTTCGAATTTAGAAAGCTCGTGTAGAAAATCAAGATCTTCAGGTGCAGTTGAATCAGGCACTCCAGCAAGCCTTGGATCCCAATAGTAAAGGCAACTCTTTGTTTGCAGAGGTACTTACAAGCGTTCTAGAATTGGTTAAGTTGACATTTCATCTACTGTGAGAACAATTAAACATGTTCCTTTCCAGGTGGAAGATCGAAGGGCAGCCATGGAACGCCAGCTTATAAGTATGAAAGTCAAGTATCAGTCGCTAAAGAAACAGAATGCATTTAATAGAGAACAGATGCAAAGAATGAAGGTATGGAATTATCACCATTAGAAGTTTACTGATCCGCTTTGTACGATACGGACATTAAATGTACCAATATATCAAAAAAAGAATTTTTTTTTTTTTTAAAGAAGTGTAGTTAGATAATTATTTCTAGAACTGAATGGTGTTTTTTTGTTTGTTTGTTTGTTTGTTTTGAGACAGCGTCTCCCTATGTAGTCAGATGAACTTGGTTGAACCACTGACCGGTCACTTGCTAGCTGTGTGACCTTGGGTGTGTATTTTACCTTGTGAGAGCGTGAGTTATCTCATCTAAGTAACAGAGGTGAATGATAGGACCTGGCTCAGGTCTTTTCTAGTGTTAGAGTAGTAAATACTTACATGGTGCTTCCTATCCTTGTCGCTTGTGAACCTAACATTCGCGACTAGCAGTAGCTTAATTTCCCCCTCTTAATTTTGAGAAACCCCATCAGATCTTCAACAAATATCAGTACAAATGATGAATCATGGATGATCTTTGACCAGGCTTATTTACTGGTTCAATAATATGGTTCCAGACAGCAGTCATACAGTTTAATTTTATGTTTCACAGGAATACAAGTAATCATTTTAAAGACTTTACATATCATTATTAAGTAGTTAAAATAAGTACTCAAAGTTATATCTACAGCAGAACATATTGATACTTATGTTTTCACATAATTAGACTAGAAATAGCTAATTATTGTAGTTTCCAAAATCAGTTCCAGATAATATAGTATAAAATATGACTTGTACCAGAAAAATGCTTCTCAGAATCTCACACGATTTTATTGGGGTTGGGGGTGCTAGCTTCAGATTTCCACGTTGCTACAGATGAAAGGATCTCAGACTGAATTTGAGCAGCAGGAACGGTTGTTTGCCATGTTGGAGCAGAAGAATGGTGAAATAAAACATCTTTTAGGTGAAATGAGAAATCTGGAGAAATTTAAGGTATATGTAACACCTTTAAAAATGGTGTCAAACTTTGATTTGACCTTTAAAATTTTTTTTATTAGTACCTATTTGCCGTACATAACAATCACTTTCATCATAGGGAATTTGTGCATGTAAATAATGTGTCTCCATCCATTCTTAGCTTTTTCCTATTTCCTTGCCCTCCCTTCAACCCTTCTTCCCTTTCCCATTTACAAAAGCTTTTTAAAAATTTTTTTTTCTTTCATGATTTGAATTTCTCACTATTTTGAACTTAAATGTCTTTCTTTGTAATGTAATTAGCTTTCAGTTCCAGGACAAATTGACTTGATATTTAAATTATTTTTTTCTCTCTTTTCTTTTCAATATTTTTAACTATTGCTTCTTTTAGTAGAGCCAACCAACCTGTCCTATTTTTGTTGCTGTTATTATCAGCTTATTCTAAGTACCTAAACCCTTAATTACAATTCAGTGAATTTAGAACACATATTCCTCTTGAAATTACCATCCAAATCATGATGTAAAATATTCCACTGCCTCTGCCTAACTGTGTATGTCAGCATTACATGAATAAATACTGATTACATAGCAGTGTAATCATTTAATATATAGTATTTTGTTCCTGTCTTCTACTTAAGATTATGTCAAAGAGATTTCTTCCTCTTGTATGTTATTGGTAACTGGTTATGTTTCAGTATTATCTACTTTATTTTTTAATGTAGCTTAGTCACATCCAACATCAGTTCAACTAAAAACAGCTCTATTGGTATTCACAGATGTCTTTTCATAAACTCTAAATTTATTAGATTTTAAAATAAATTCATCCTTCTAGAAAATAAATAGAAGTATTCCTATTTACTTTTCAGCTAGAGCCCCCAATTATTGATTTTACTACATCTCTTATTTTCTTTGCATTGTTCTGTATATGTATATTTTTCCTAAACATTTGAGAGTAAGTCACAAACCAGATGTCTTTTTAACTCTGATTACCTCAGTATTATCGAAGACTATGATCTTATATAACCAAGTCATCAAAATCAGGAAATTAACATAGATATGAGTTGATTCATACTATTAACTACATTTGCCAACTACCTCTAATGACCTTTATAACAAAATAAGAAGCACATGCGTTATATTCTAGGATTTAATCCATGATAACATGTTGTGGTTGTCACATCTCTTCAATCCTCCTTAATTTGGATCAGTTCTTCAGTCTTTATCTTTCATGACCTTGACATTTTTGAAGAGTATAGCCCATTTTACAAATTATTTTGAGTTTTTCTGATGAGATTAGATTGAGATTCTGTGTTTGACAGGAGTACTACTAAAGTAATGTACCTTTTCCAGTGTTTCATAACTAGGTGGCACATAATTAGGTGCGCTGTTTCTGGTGAGACTAAATTTGTTTGATAAAGGTTGTGTCTCCCAGGTTTCTGTGACATAAAGTTACAACTATTCCTTTTGTAATTATTAAGTATATGGGGGGAAGACACTTCGAGACTGTCATCTGTTAGTAAATTTGGCCACAGTGATATTTACCATATATTAAATTTCCATACATACTTGGGTCTGTTCTACATTTTCTGTTTCCTATTAGTCTATCTGTGCATAACTGATGAAGACTTGGTAGTATTTTTTATTAACTGATGCAGGTTTGGTTATATATTTTATCTATAAGACTATTCCCCCACCATTGCTTTTCTTTTTCACTGTTTTCCTGGATATTGTGTGTTTGCTTTTCTCTGTGAACAGCTTGTCTAGTGCCAAAAAAACTTAATGATATTTTTATTAGGATTGTAGCACATTTATAAATTTTCAAATTTCTATAGGGAGCATTGATATCTGCTCATTGACCTCCCAGTGAAAGGTTAAATTGTGAAAATGGCAAATTTTTATAAATTTTAATAATCCCTTAGGTGTTCTAGATTGTAGTATAAGATTTTAAGTTTATATTACTTTATTTCTATCTCGTCTAAAAATTGTTGAAATTTTATTTAAATTTGCAGTATGTTACTTGGCAAGTGTTTGTGGTCCACAATGGGCTCAGTGCTATACTTTGGAAATTGTGGTCTTAAATCAGGAGATTTTTTCTTTTTACTTACAGCCTCTGAAATTGTAAGTTTTTAAACAGATTTTCTTTTCCCTTAGAGAAAGGAATAGTTTACACCAGTATCTGGAGAGTAGATATAAAAAATAACTTTAAGAATCATCTTTCTTCATATTTTTCAAATTTATGGCTTTGTCATAAAGTCTAGAATTCAACCTATCAAAGCCAAGAGAAGAAACCTGTAGATCTAGGTATGATTGAAAGCGTAGCTCAAGAGTTAGATGTGGGCTCAGATTATCTTTTTTCTGTTTACTTGCCTGTGGCACCTTGATCCACTTTGCTTAACTATAAGAAAGGAATGCTGGTGGTTTTGCTTAACTGCAGAAGCCAGATGAATTAGTGGGTAGTTCTTAACAGAATGCCTGCCAAATGGTGATTGTTTAACAAAAAGTAGCTGCTAATAATAAATATATAGTAACCTAATTTTTTATGTACCTTAAATAACAAAAATTTTTGCTTTCTTTAGAATTTATATGAAAGTATGGAATCTAAGGCTTCCATGCCAAGCAGTTCTGGTGTTCAAGAAGACAGAACCTACTATACAGATTTACTTCAGCTAAAACTTGATAACTTAAAGTAAGTGTCTGGGTGGGTAGATGGAAAGATGAGACTTTTCACATACTTAAAATAGATAGCATTACTGGCTACAATTTTTTTTTTTAATTGCTGAATTTCCAAAAAAAGAAAGTCAATAAAACTATCTTTGTGTATTATGTTCTTAGTTTTATGCAAAGTGTATTAGTTACTGATCATTGAAGAAAAAAGGACTTTCAATGAATAATTGTTATTTCTTTGCTTTTGGCTTTATAGATTAGTAGAAAGAACTTTAAGATGGAAAATGTTCTTATGATCCAGATTTTTAAGAATAAATATCAGATACAGATAATTTGAAACTGATAGAAATTTATGTATGAGTAAATTTGGATAAGAATATTTTCTCCTTTTGTCCCTTTAAAGAATACATTTTTTTTTTTTGGATGCTATTGCTAAACATTCTTTGTTACTAAACCCTAGAGAACTATTTTTAACTGTTTCAATATACACTTAAAATGCTACATTTATTTATATTATATATTATTCTAATATCCCTTTGTTCTCCTTTACTACTATTGTAGCAAAGAAAATGAAAGCACCAAGGGTGAATTGTCTATACAGCGAATGAAAGCATTATTTGAGAGCCAGCGAGCCCTTGATATTGAGAGAAAACTTTTTGCAAATGAAAGATGCCTACAGCTTTCAGAAAGTGAAAATATGAAACTAAGAGCTAAACTAGATGAGTTAAAGCTGAAGTATGAACTTGAAGGTATGTATATTTCGTGTATTCCCTTTTAAATCTCGAGGAAGCTAAATTATATCAACTTTTTATCATATTTTTTGCAAATCTCATTACAAACTAATTTATGGTCATGTATCTATAGCTAAAGGAAATTTACTGCTGCAAAATGTATAGGAAAATTTGGATGTCTGGGTATTAGTTTTGAGTGAATATAATCAATATTCTTTTTGGATAGCTTCATCATCTTGTATAGTGGAAACAACATCTGAGACTTTTCCATGTAAGAGTGCAACATTCTCATAGCAAAGAGTTAAATTTGGTTGAAGTAGCTGACATTGGAATGTATATTAAGTTAGGAATATTTACAGAAACCTAAAGAAGGTTTAGGCTTTAATACTTATTTCTCCTAATGAAAGTCTGGACAAAGCACTTTAGGACCAACTCCATAGTGTCAGGATTTGGGCTTATGTGTTGTTGGTCTGCTGCCATCCTGGGGCCGAATTCAGTCACATGACCTCATCTGCTACAGGAAAGGCTGAGAAAATGCAGTTGTGATTGTCAAGGCACATGTTCCCAATGAAATATTAGGATTTCTATTTTTTTATTGACAATTAAATAATTGGACATATTTATGGGATACAGTGTGATGTTTCCATGAATGTATACCTTATATAATGATCACATGAAACTGATTACTATATCCATTACTTTAAACATTTACCATTTCTTTGGCATGAGAACATTCAAAATCCTCTCTTTTACTTATTTGAAATGATGCAGTGCATTATTGTACATACACGGTGGACTATCATGAACCATATGAAAGCATGAAATCCTGTCACCACACTGTGCAGTAGAGTACTTTCATCTTCCTTCATGTCTAACATTTTACCTGTTGACCAACTTCTTCCCATCTCCACCTCCCCCTATTCTCACCAGGTTCTGGTAACTACTCTTTTACTCAACTTTACAAAAATCACCTTTATAGAGTCCATAGGTGAATGAGGTCTCGTAATGCTTATTATTTTGTGCCTGGTTTATTTCACATAACATGGGGTTCGCCAGTTGTCACAAATGATAGGATTTTATGCTTTTTATGGCTGCATAGTATTGTGCATATATAATTTTCTTTGTCTTTTAATCCATTAATGGACATTTAAACAGATCCATACTTGGCTCTTGTGAATAGTGTTGCAATAAATATGGAAATACAACTATCTCTTTGACTTACTGATTTCACTTGTTTTGGATAGATCTACCCAGTAGGGTGATTGCTGGCTCATGTGGTAGTTCATTTTTAATTTTTCAAGAATTTCAAAACTGTTTTCCATAATGACTGTATGAATTTGCTTCTCACTAATACTGTATAGGAATTTTCCTTTCTCCATATCATCACCAGCATTGTTATTTTTTGTTTTCAGTGAGTAGCCATTCTAATGGAGTCAAGTGATATTTCATTGTGGTGTTGATTTACATTTTCCTAGTATTTAGAGTACTTTTTTCATAGACCTATTGGCCATTTGTATATCTGAAGAAATGTCTATTCAAGGTCTTTTTCCAACTTTTAATCAGATTACTTAGAGCTTTTTTTTGCTATTGATTTTTTGAGTTCTTTATAGATACCACATGTGAACATGTTATCAAATGTAGAATCTGCAAATGCTTTCTTCCCTTCTGTAGGTTCTCTTCACTCTTGTTTGTGTTGCCATGCAGAAGCCTTTTAGTTTGATGTAATCCTGTGTGTTTTTTTGCTTCTGTTGCTCGTGCTTTTGAGCATTTTATCTAAAAAATCCTCATCCAGCTAGTATTACTGTAGTATTATTTCCCCTATGTTTTCTTCTAGTACTGTCATAGTTTTGCATCTTCTATTTAAATTATAATGTTTTGGTTTTTTTTGGTACTGGGGATTGAATTCTGGACCTTGTGCTTACGAGGTAGGCAGCGGAACCACTGAGCTAAATCATCGGCCTTTGGGTGATAATTTTGAATTGATTTTTGTATATGATCAGAGACAGGTGTAATTTTGTTCTATGGCAGTGGATATTCAATTTTTTTAGCACCATTTATTGGAGAGACTGTCCTTTCTCTGTTATATATTCACCTGTTTCATCAAAAATTTTGGGCTCTGTTGAGTTCCACTGGTGTATGTTTCTGTGTTTATGCTAGAAATGTGCTATTTTGGTTAGTACTGCTTTGTAGTATATTTTGAAGGCAGATAGTGTGATGCTTGCAGTTTTGTTGTTTTTGCTATAGATTACTTTGGTTATTCAGAGTCTTATGGTTTATACAAATTGTACAGTTTTGGTTTTTTTTTGTTCTCTTTCTATTTCAGGAAAATAACATTTTATTTTCGATAGGGATTGCATTGAATTTGTAGATGCTTTAGGGCTTTTTAACATTATTAATTCTTCCCATATGTGAATATGAGATTGCTTTCCATATTTTTCTGTCTTCAGTTTTCATCAGTGTTTTAGAGTCTTCATTGTAGAGATCTTTCACTGCCTTGATTAAATTTATTTGTAGGCTTTTTTGGTTGTTTTTGGTTTGGGAGAGGTTTTTTTGGTAGTCAGTAAAAATGGGATTACTTTTCTAATTTCTTAAGATAGTTTGCTATATCTCATAGAAACACTACTGTCTTTTGTATGTTGGCTTTTTATCCTACAAATGTACCGTATTTATTTATTTATTAGCTCTTCTAACAGTTTTTAAGTGGAATTTTAATAATTTTCTCCATATAGGATCGTGTTATTTGCAAATAGAGACAATTTGACTTCTCCTTTTCACCTTAGCTGCCTTTTATTTCCTTCTCTTGTTTAATTGATCTGGCTAGGACTTTTAGTGCTATGTTTAGTAGTAGAAAAGGTGGACATTCTTGTTCTAGATTGTGGGGGGAACTGCTTTCAACTTTTACCTGTGTAGCATGGTGTTGTCTCTGGGTTTATCATACGTGGCCTTTTTAAGGTTGAGGTATATTTCTTCTATATTTAATTTTTTGAGTTTCATCATAAAGGGATGTTGAATTTTGTCAAGTGCTTTTTCCATATATGCTGGAATGATGTTCGTTGTCTTATTAACATGTTCCGTCATGTTCATTGATGTATGTATGTTAAACCATCCTTAGAGCACAGGGTGAATCCCACTTGACTATGGTGTGTAATCGTTCTGATGTGCTCTTGGATTCTGTGTGCTTGTATTTTGTAGAGGATTTTTGCTTCTGTATTCATCAGGAGTATTGGCCTTAGCTTTTTTTGCTGTATCCTTGCCTTGTGTTACTATCAGAGTAATGTTGGTCTTGTAGTTTGTAGTTTGGAAGAATTCTCTTTTCAGTTTTTTCACTTATTTTGTGAAAATTAGTGTTAGTTCTTTAAGTGTTTTGTAGACTTCAGCAATGAAGCCACCAGGGCCTGAACTTTTCTTTGATGGAAGAGTTTTTAATCACTGTTTAAATTTCATTACTCATTATTGGTCTGTTCAGAACTTCTTTATTCTAGATTCAGTCTTGGTAGAATATAGGTATCCAGAAATTTATTTCCTCCAGGTTTTTCAATTCACTGGTATATATTTGCTCATATTAGTTTCTTATTTTTTGTATTTCTGTGATATCAGTTCTCTTGTCTACCTTTTCATGTCTGATTTTATTTGAATCTTATTTTCTAAATCTGTCTAAAGGCTTATCTTTTCAGAAAACAAACTTCATATCTCTTCCATATTTTGTCAGTCTCTATTTCAATGATTTGTGCTTCTGATCTTTATTATTTCCTCTAATTTTGTGGGGTTTTTTTCTTATTTTTCTGGTTTCTTAAAATGCCACATTGATATCTTTTTTGGTGCAGGCACTGATTGCTATGAATATTTTCTATTTTAAGACTGCTTTTTACTGTATCCTAGAAGTTTTATATGTTGTGTCTCCATTTTCATTTGTGAAAGAAAATTTGAAATTTCTTTTAATTTTTTTCATTGATCTTTTGGTTGTTCTTAAGCATATTGTTTAATTTCCATGTTGTTTGTACCCTTTCCTATGTTCCTTTGGTTATCAATTTCTTGTTTTATTTCATTGGGGTCAGAAAAGATACTTGATACGAATTCAGTTTTGGTAATTTTTTTATTTGTTAAGACTTGTGGCCTAACATCTGTCCTGGAGAACGTTCTGTGTGCAGTTGAGAAGAATGATGTGCAGCTGTTGGGTGAGATGTTCTATTAACTTTTGTTAACTCCATTTTGTCTAGAGTGCAGATTCAATCTGGTTTTCCTTGATTTTCTGTCTAAATGATCTTCCATTGCTGGAGGTGGAGTGTTGAACTCCCTTGCTATTGCTTTCTGCGCATCTCTTTAGGTTTAATAATGTTTGCATTGGATATTCAGGTGATCTGATGTTGGATGTTTATATCTTTATGATTTCTACTGTATGTCCTCTGGTTATACCGACCCCATCATCATTCCGTAATAGCCTCATCTCTTTATAGTTTTTGATTTGAAGCCTATCTTATCTGATATAAGCATATAAGCTTCCATTTGGACAGACTTATCTTTTTTTCATTCATTCACTTTTTATCTCTGCATGCCCTTACAGATGAAGTCTCTTGTAGCCAGCATAGAGTTAGTACTTGGGTTCTTTTTTCTTAATCCGTTCAGCCACTTTGTGTTTTTTAATGAAGAATTTAATCCATTTGTTGTCAAGGTAATTATTGATACCTTGGAACTGCCACATACTCACTTGTTCTCCTGTTGTTTTGTGGATCTTTTGTTCTTTCTTACTGTCTTTTTTTGGTGGTTATGTAATTTTTCCATATTAGCATGTTTTGATTCCATGCTTTTTAATCTTACTGTATCTATTTAAGGTTTCTGCTTTGCAGTTAGTAAGACTTACAAAGAATATCTTGTAGGTTATTTTGCATGTAAGAACTTGATTTTGATGCAGAAAAAAGAAAAAAATCTTTACATCTATTTCTTGCCTATATTTTAAAAGACTAAATGATTATAATAAAAATCTTGGAGTTTTAGATGTCAAATTTTTCATCTTTTCATATTACCTATATCTTAACAGATTACTTTAGCTGTTAAACTTCTTACTAAGGATATAGAGGTTTACATCCTGTGATTACTGTATCAGAAGATTCTGAACTGATCTGCCTACTTCTTTGTTTAGCTATGGGTCTTAATATTCATATATTTTCATGTCACACATTGATGTCCTGTTCTCTTTTGCTTGAAAAACTTCCTTTAGCATTTCTTGTAAGACAGATCTGGTTGCAGTGAATTTCTTCAGCTTTTTACCTGGAAATGTCTGTCTCTCCTTCACTTCAAAAGAATAGCTTTAGAATGAAAAAAAAAAAAATAGGTTGGATGGGTAGAGTGGTTTCAGCTGGCCGTTTTTTTTTTTCCTTCAGCATTTGAAATATATCACATGTGGGGTTGCTGCTGATAGGTCTGCTGCCAAACGTATTGGAATTCCCTTCTGTATGTTTTTCCCTTGTTATTTCGTGGCGCTCTCAGGATCCTTTCTTTGCCCTTGACTGTGAGTTTGATTATTAATGTCTTGGAGTTGTCTTATTTGAGTTGAATTAGATTGGTGACTTTTAAACTTCCTATAGTTGGATATCTATATCTTTGTCAGGTTTGAAAAATTGTAAAGTTTTCTCCTATTATTTCTTTGAATAAACTTCCTACCTTTTTTTCATTCTCTAACTGGCCTTGAACACCACTGACATAGATCTGCTCTTTTGATGATTATGTTTCATAGATCTCATGAATTTTCTTCCTTTTCATTCTTTTTTTGTTTTTTCTCCTACAACTGTATTTTCAAGTAGCCTGTCTTTAATCTCACTGATTCTCCTGCTTGATTATTCTGATATTAATGTTCTCTGTTGCATTAATTTTATTTGTTGTATTTTTAAGCTCTAAGATTTTTTTGTTATAATGACTTCAGTCTGTTAAATTTCCCAGTAGATATCTGAATTAGATTTCTGTGCTTTCTTGAGGTTCACTGAGTTTTCTTAAAACAGCTATGTAAAATTCTTTGCCAAATCGTTTCTATCCATGTCTGTTGGGTCTGCCATTGGCACCGTGTTTTTCCATTTGTAAGACCATCTTCTCTTGGCTCGCTTCAGTCCTTGTAGATATGCACCTCTGTCCACACATTGATGAATGTATTTATTACATTCTTTGCAGTATGAGTCTGTGACTTCTGTTTTAGTGCACTTGTTTAGAAATTCTGAACAGACTGTTATATTCTGTTTCAGCATAAGAGGGCACCCTAAGTCCAGGTTAGAAACAAATTTTGTTTTGTGATGGCTCCACTGCTAGTGCAGTGTCTGACCTGGATGGCCCCATAGGAGATTCAGAAAGGACACTCAGCCATGTGTGAGAGCGATCTAGACACTCAAGTCCAAAGGATCTGTGGACCATGCTCCTAGCAAGGTGGCGCCCCGAAATAGCCTGTCTGGAGCAAAGTCTTCTTTGGCAGGAGTGGAAAGCACAGTGCTGAGTTCTGTGTGCTATCTGCCCCTAACCCTGCTCCTCCTTGTTCCTAGCAGGCGTCAGGTGAACCGCACCACTGTGGGACTGCACACAAGTGAGACTCCCAAAGAGACCATGAGAATGCCATGGAAGCCAAATGTCTGCCTCCAACTCACTTTTCCCAGTATAAAAACTGAGTTCTGGGGGGCTTTATGTGTATGATACTGTAGCAGCTCAGGGACAGGGGAGCTGCAGTCGTGAATCCTTTGTCCTTCTAGTCCAACCTCACTTTTGCTCATCTTTGCAGTTTAAAGGGTCTCCTTAAGTGTTCTGGTTTTCTAAGCTGTGGTGAAGCTCTTGTCCTGTATTTTTGTGTGTACATAATTATTTAAACTGGTCAGTGGAGCAGTGGTAGAGCAGTGATCAGTGGAGTTTCTGACTTTACCCTCTTGTTTCACCCTTTCTCAAAAATTCTGTTTTTGGGGCCGGGGATTTAGCTCAGTGGTGCTGCTGTCTGCCTTGCAAGTAGAAGGTCCAAGTTTGATCCCCAATATCAAAAATAATATCTATTTTGAAAGAAAAGGAAACATCTACCCAGTCGAATTGCTGAGATAAAAAATAGACCAACCATACAATCTCTGTATCTCATATACTACAGAGTTAGTTTTACTAAATATAAATTTAAAACTAAAAGGCCAAATATAAAGATATCTAAAAGTGTACTGGTTCTAGCCCACTCCCTCTCAAAATAGTGTTGTTAACATATTTTAGGGTAGGGACTCTCAACCTGCACTGTTTTCATGCCCAACTCTCTTCATTGTTATAGTGATTCTCAGCAGTACCAGGGAGTTTATCAACAATAGGAATGTTATATAGTTTTTGGTTTTTTTTGTTTTTGGCACGTATTAGTGAGCTTTTTTTAATCTTTATTAAATTTATTGGTACATTTTAGGTATACAATACAGTTGCATTCATCATTGGTATCTTGTACCTTTACGTGATATATTTTGGTTCTTATTTCTTCCCATTCCCCAGCCCTCCCTTCACTCTCTCCACCCTTCCCTGTTTACAAAGACATTGTTTCCATGTTTTTTCTTTTCACATATTTTTTTCCCTTTTTCCCTTTCCCCTACCCCTCTCACTTCCTCTACACTTTTAGTCTTTTTCTTCCTATTATACAATATCAATTATACATTTTGATGCTTATTTACACTTTTAGTTTTTCACACCAGTTAGTTTTAAATAGTTTCTCTTTCTTGTGTCCTTTTTTCCCTTCCTTGATTCTAATAGGCTCCTCTGATTAAGAATCTTCTGTTACAGGTTTCACAGGTCTGTTGAACAGAACACAGCAAAGAAAGGAGGGGACAGGTAGTAATTCCATTGATACTGGTTTCAGAGAGAAAGGGAAAGTGCATTGGACCCTTATCCTATGAACTCAATTCGTTTGCGAGGGCTGGTTGTAACTCAAGTTAATCTGGCTCCTCTACGCAGCCTTCAGTGTCTCTTTTCTGTATAATTTGAGGCCACACTCAGATCTCAGTGTCCTTAGAGAGACAGTGGCCCAGGATTTCTCAATGACCCCCACACAGGAAAGGATGTTGTAATGTTCCTTCCTGAACTCTTTGAGGGTTAAATCTATCGAGACCATCTGGAAGCACAAGCAGCCGGCATTTGGGTCATAACTCAAGACTTTGTTAAAGCCAAAATTCCAGTTTTGACCCAAGTTGTCTGTATGTCAGGCCAGTCGTAATTCGAGGGTGTACTATAATGATCTGAAAGCCACAGTGTGGAGCAAGAGCACCAACCCCTTTTCCTAGCATGGTTCTGTAAGCTGCAGACTTTGAAAACGAAAGGCACACTGGTAGAGAATATTGCAGCATTTAGTTCAGTGACTGTAGGACTTATGTAGGGCATAGGGTGATGCTAGGCCTCCAGGATGAAAGGAGTTGCGGCGTCTGCAGTGGATCCATGGTATGGTTGGGACTAGGAAGGTGCCTATTGTGGGAGTAGTCAGATTCTAAACATATTCTGTAGGAGGGGCTGACGTCACAAATGACCAGTACTCACAGTCTGACGTGCTGTTTTCATTTAGTCCTCACAACACCCCACAGTACATGAGGAAGGCGCTTGTTATTCCCGTTTAAGTGCAGGAAAGTTAAATACCCAGGGCCTTAGCACGGAGGCACATCCTTGGCCCTTTAATTTTTATTTTGAGACAGGTTCTTGCTAAGTTGCCCAGGCAGGACTCAAATTTGGGATCCTACTGCCTCAACCTCCCAGAGTGTTGAGCAGGCATGTGTCACCATGGCTGGCATAGTACTGGGACTTGAACTCAGGCTCCTTAACTCTATCATTGTAACTTTATCTCTATTTGGGCTGAGATCTTATGCAGCATTCCTACAATATTTATGAAAGCACCAGAAGATAACATTCTGCTAACCCCTGGAAATATATATATATATATTGAGTTCCCAGGGAAAAGTTTTTGGCTGAATGAACTTTAAAAGATATAGCTAACGGGGATCTGTGCAAAAGAAAGCATAAAACAAACAATGTGTTTCATAAGGAGATACGTGAATTTTAAGAGAATGGAAAAAAGAAAATAGTTTAAATATAACTTGTTCTTCTTTCTTGAGTTGATTGTGGCTTTGTTTTCATTCACTGACTGAATTTTTAAAAAAATGATTTTTATTCTCAGAGAAAACTGAAGTGCCTGTACTCAAAAAGAGGCGTGAGGTGCTGCCTATGGATGTAACCATCCCTAAAGATGTGTGTTCCAACGATACTGATGGGGAAGGAGTTTCTAGATTTCCACCTCAGAAAGATGAGGCGCGGTCCTGTCCTAATAATTTAGAAGATGCCAACTTGCAGTTAGAAAAACCAGTTTCTACAAACACACCCATAGCCTCTTTCTCTCCTCACACAAACCTGCCCATGGAAATGCAGCTGAAGAAAGAAAAGAAATGTGTGAAGCTCATAGACGAGCCAGCTGATGCTGAGGCCTTAAGTGAAAGAAGTGGAAATACGCCCCACTCTCCCAGGTCAGTGTCCTCTTTTCCTCAAGGCAACTGGCCGACCTCTCCACCTCTTCTCTCTCGCTGCATGAACTATGCTGTTTGTTTCTTCATCTATCTCCTAAGCATTGCATGCAGTGTAATTCCTCAGTTTCATCTGCCTGCCTTCAACTTTTCCAGAACTTTAAGAAAGACTAAAATGATTGCAAGGGGAAAAGACTCTTGAAAAAGGGAATCATATTAAAAAGTTAGACTTTTTTGTGTTATGGAATGGAAATATCACAGTTGAATACCTCTCTGAGTATTTCATTGGTTTGAATAAATGTACTATTATTTTTCTCATGGTTCAAGAGTAGCCATGAAAGAATAATTTTAGGTTGTTTTGCTTAGAAACTGTAGGTGAAATTTTTTATGGCTTTTGATGTTGTTTATATTAAGCCTTCAGAAATGGGCTTTGATACCTATTTTGACTTTTTTAAATATAATTTTTCATTTTTCTAAAACTTCAAAGCCTGTAGTTTTTGCAAAATGAAGTTATTGAGTGACTAAAAGAGGAAGTGTCAGACAAGTGTATCTGAATTAATGTTCAGAGAGCTTTGTCCTTTAAAAACATAAAAATAATAAAAGTAAGAAAGTAAGAGAAAGTGAATGGAGGGAGGGTAGGGAACTGGCTGAAACTAGTGTTTTGGATACAGAGCAGGATCAAGGGTGAGATTTTCAAAAGGATGGGAAAATAGAGAAGGCAACCGTTTTTTTAAAAAGATGAAGGATATTTGCATGCAATGCAGTCGTGAGTGTATTTAAAGTAAATCTGTTTATCCGCTTAAAAATTACATCTATAGATCTGTCAATAACTAACTTAGATTGTCTCCTAGAAAAAAACAAAAATGAGATCTTTCAGTTGCTGCTCGGGCTACATCAGCCTTAGAGAGAGGGGTACAGCATCACATTTAACCAGTGTGCATTTGATTGAAACACGGCACAGCCACTTCACATAGAAGGACTTCCTTGTGTGTTTTATCAGATGTTTCTTTCAGTCTTCAATGCTACTAAATGTAGTACTCAACAAGAAAAAACAGTATTAGCTGCTATCATTGTAAGGAGGACTGTCATTCTTTTCCTTGAATTTTTATGTAATGTTATAACCAGTAAGTCACATAGGAAAAGGTTGATATTCTTGGAGAAAGTGACTTCATATGGATGATCTGTGACATGTTTACATGGTTCCAGATCGTCCAGAACTGAACTCAGTTCATGCTTGTTTGTCTGTGATGCACTTTTGTAAGTGCACCTGACGTGTGCATACTTCTGAAAGTAGGTTTCCAGAATCAGTCAGAATCAATCCTTGCTATCTCTGTTGCCTTTATTTCTTTTTCTGTGCTTTTTAACTTGAAAAAAAAAATGTACATAGCTAATTAATTATTTGATTCAAATTAAATCACACATTTGAAATTTTTTTGTCTCGCTATTTAAGCAAAAGCAAATAAAATGCCACGAAACAGTTGTTTTTGTGTGTGTGAATCCCTCTGCTAACTTAAATGTTTCCAACCTTTTGTTCTCTGCATGCCTAACTCAGAAACACAATCTGAAGTGATTTTGTAACATTGAAGATGGGTTTTATTAGGAACTTCATTATTGTATGCTTGATAAATTTAATTGATACTCTTGCTATAAAAAATCTTTACAAATCTTTTTAAATATCTCGGCCACTGTATTTCTTATTTATTAATTCTGCTAGTTGAAAGTAAATTTGAAGGGTTTTTTCCCCTTTGTATAAGACAAATAGACATCTACTCTTGCAGCACAAGATTCCATGTTACTTTTGTCTTGTGTTTCACCTCTTGTATGTATGTATTTAATAACTTTAAAATATTTTTCTAGCATTTTAATTTTTGTGTTATATGTACTTCTCATCATAGGTATCGCATTGTATGTAATTTTTAAATTTAGGCCTCTCCCGGCCTTTTTGTCAACCTTAAAGATATTTGTTAGACATTTTAAAAAACTGAGCTGTTTACATAAAAATTCTTTGAGAGGGGCCATCATTTAGTATTCTTCCTGGTATTGGAGTTAACTATAACTTTTTCCTTGTACACACTTTTTAAAATATCACCATGCTTCACTGGAGGCCCATTCTACTTGGGTTTGTGTCTTTAGTTTTTTTTAAACTTCATTTGAATTCAGAGAGGATGCTTTGATACCTGTAGGTTAGCTGCTGAAGCAAAGCTTCAGACAGAAGCTCAAGAAGGGAAAGAAGCTGCAAGCAAACTGGAAAAGGAATCTTGTAAGAAATCACATCCTATTCTGTATGTGTCCTCCAAATCAACTCCAGAGACCCAGTGTCCTCAGCAGTAAAGACTTCTCTTTAGAAAAGTGAGCTACTACTTGCTTAGTGAAGATTATGATTATCTGAAGGACACCTCCTTGTGGATTCCTGCCACCTACCCATTCCTCCCAGTCCTGGTTTTTCATGATTCTTTGTCGAGTGCTGAAAATTTGGTTGTGATTCTAACCTGAAGAGACTCTTAATTGATGACCCTTTATGCAGCTTCTGTGAGTCACGGTGATGTTACAATTCATATAAATCTGTTGGCTGCATTGTATCTGAATTTTTAAAGTCATGTGAACGTTTAATCTCCATTCAAAGCTGTTTATTTGAAAAGAAAACACTGACATCACTATATTTTCCTATGTACTTTCTTAGTTTTTCAGTGTTGTAAAAATAGGAAATTTGGCTTAAAATGTATATATTGTAGCAGGATTTTGTCCATGTTTAAAACACCTATATTCATTTTGTACTCATACACTTAGTTTATGAGTCAGGCATATGAAACAAATAATTTAGAAATTTAAAATAAAATTCCAGTAATTTCTTTCTTTTGTATTTTCTTACTCTTTGTTTAGAAATAAGATGTTATCAAAAGAGAATAAAAGAGGGAGGGAAAACATTCAGAGATTCTTAATCCTCCAGTATATAATTTTGTGCATATATTTATATATCATATAATATTTCTCTAATTATATGTATATATACATATATATATATTTAAATATATTTAATTCCAAACTTTACAAATAAAGATTTTTTAAAAAATTTAAATGATAATAGATTGATCTATAACTTAATTTCATATATATTTTCTGTAGGTGGGTGAATTAGTCACTATTCTCCAGATAAGTCCATCTGTGTTAGGAAGTACAATCTTTTTCTCAGTCTACTAATTTTAATGTGAATCTCATTTACAGATGCCCTCACAGAACTGTCCAGAGTAATATTTGACAACACACTTAGGCACTGTGGCCTGGGCAAGTTGACATAAAATTAACCATCATCTGTACCAGTTAAATAAGTCTGTTGAAACATTAGGTAACAGGAGATTGCCACTGACATCTCGATACGTCAGATAGTAGACTTAATTTGTTTTAATTTGCTGCCAAAAGCATACTCAGGAAATTGAAATAGTCATATTAAATAACATCTCTTATAAAAAGAAGTAGCTTGAAGGCACTAACAAACAGATAATTTCAACCTGAGGCCAATATTAAGTAAATGACAACATTCATACTGCATATTGGAGAATGTAGTCAATTCCGACGTTGAGTTCTTACTATGAACTCTACTATCTGCAAAAATAAGCCCTCTGAGCTCACAGTTTAAGAGACCCATGTCACTGAGTAGTGATAGCGGTAATATGACTAGCAGCAGTTACATTTAACATTCAGGCACTCTTCTAAGCCCCTTTTTGTGTTACTGCATTTAACCCTTTCACCTGTGAACTAGGTATTATATTTATCTCCATTTTGAAGACAGAAAAACAATGCCCTAGAGAGGTTACTTGTGCAAGATCAAAAAATATAAAGAGCAAATAAAAAAGAAGATAGTCTCAGATGGAATGGAGAGAGAGGGAAGAGGAAGGAATTTAAAAAAAAGGAATTAAGGTGTGCTGTGGAAATGTCCCAACTCCACACAAGGAATGTAAACACATACTGCAAACATGTACAAAATACATTTTTAAATAATGAAAAAATAAGAGTGATAGAGTTGATGGAGTGTACAGAGTGCTGTAAGGAGAGAGAGGATATTGGGTTTTTGTTGTCTCTAAAAGTCATTTCAGGATTTTACTAAGACATTTAGAAAGCATTACAAGTACAAGAAATACCCAAAGATTAAAGGTGTGAAACTTTCTGTTGAGCAGATGACTCAATGAACTTTTAAGACTTTTGCATAATGATAATAGTAAATTAAATCTGAATAGAGATCTACAAGCAACATGATGAAGAGCTTTCTTTTGGAAGTCTTTTTGTTTTTTGAGACAGGGTCTCACTGTGTAGTTCAGACTGATGAACTCACTATGTAGTCTCAAACACACAGCGATCCTCCTGCCTCAGCCGCCTGAGCCCTGGATTACAGGTGTGCATCACCACGCCTGGCAACTTTTAGAAATCTTTTTGATAAAAATTTACGCACATATTCAATCACACTGAGCAACTGAATTGAAGGCTGAAGGAAGAAGACTTAACGGGATTAACAAAGGAACACATCTAGCTTCTGCCTTAACTTTAGAGATTGAGGCAGTTCTGTTGAGTCCTGAGTTTTCTAGAGATATATTTTGAAAAATCTCTGCAGTTGATGGCAAGCAGCTGAATAATTTAAGCAAACTTGTGCCCTCTTTCGATTTATTTTTAATAAAAGCAAAATTTGTAATGGAAAATGGATTTAGAAAAAGATAAGAGTAGAGGCGACCCATGACAGCTGGGAAGCAGAAAGATAAAAGGGCCAGGGATGAGATTACACCCTGTTAGGTCATGCCCCCACCCAGGCCTCGCCTAACAGCACATTCAGCTGCTGAAATCCTCTGTGGATGAATCCCCTGATGAATACACAGTGCCTATACGATCCGGGACTTTGGGGGGACAGTTTAGATCTAAGCCATAGCAGTAGCTTTATTCATAATTGCAAAACTTTAGAAATGACCAGAATATCCTTCAGTAAGAATAAACAGCTGGCTATAACCCAATGCAATATTATTCCCTGGTAAAAGTAAGTTGCCAACCTACAGTAAGACATAAAGGAAACTTAAATACATATTGCCAAGTGAAAGAAGCCTGTCTGAAATCACTATATATTGCATGATTCTAAGTAAAGGGCATTCTGGAAAAGACCAAATTCCAAGATTAGGAGGGTGACGTGAAGATGGGGACCATTAGGGGAAGTACAATGAATTTTTAGGGCAGTGAAACTCTTGTGTGTGATACTACAGTGATGGATACGGAACATTTTGCATTAGTGAAAACTCAGGGAAGTGCACAACACAAAAAGGAATCCATAATGTAAACTATGGGCTTTAGTAGTAACATCGGTATTGCCACATTCATGGTAACAATTGTACCACACTATTAGAACATTTTAATAAGGGGAAGCTATGCCTGTGAGGCAGGGTATGGATATGGAAACTATTATTCTGTAAACCCAAAACTGCTAATAAAAATTTAATAAAAAAATATTAATTTAAAAATTGAAATAGTTTCACCATAACAAATGAGAGTTTGTAGAATGGAAAGCGAGGGGGAAAGAAACAAGGGGAAATGTGGTGCTGTCTTGACTATGGCTCCCTCAAACCTGTTCGGAATGAAATCCCAAAGTTTATGTTGATAGTACCATGGACCCTTGACTTACGAACTCAGTCAGTTCTCAAGGGCTGTTGTAATTCAAGATGGTTGTAAGTCAATACAGCTGAGCTTTGTTTACCTGGGTACACACTATAACCCAAATTGTTTGTGTGTCAGGGCATCTGTAACTTGAGGGTCCACTGTATTAAGATGATAGAAATGATTTGACCAAGCTGTTCAGAGGTGGGGCAGTTGGAGAGTGATTAGATTAAATGAGGTCATTAGCGTGGAGCCCCCACCATTGAATCCTCCTGGCTTTATAAGGAGAAGGACAGACCACACAGACATACGGACACACACATGATGCGATATGGCCAGAGAGACACTTGTCAGAAGTTGGGCGTTGCTATTGGACTTTCATCCTCCAAAATTATGAGCTAAATGAGCCTCTTTCCCTTATAAAGTAGGCTGCCTAAGGCATTTTGTTATACTCATGAGAATTGGACTAATCCATGTAAGGTTATAAGAAAAAATAAGCTAAAACACAGAGGTCTCAGAACTTCTCCCAAGAACCCCTGCCAATAACAACAAAAGTGTTTATTATTAAAGACTGTACTTTGCTGTTCTGACAGAAGGGAGTACTCTTTCACAAGCAATCTTGTAAAAACTACCCCAAACTTCCAGAATAGAAATAGGCAAAAACAAATTAAAGTTATAGAAAGCTATTACATAACGGGGAGTGGGAGGGGGGACGAGGCCACCTTGGCTGATGAACTTGATTTCCCTTACACACACACACACACACACACACACACACACACACACACACACAGAGTCATGTTAAGAAATAGTAAAGTAGAGCCCAACACTCCAAACTGGGAAAACTGATCTAGAACACTTAAAACTACAGATTGAATATCCCTAATTTTACTTGATGGCTCTCTTTGCCCTTTGTCTGGCTGACATGCCACAGAACAAAGGCATCAACCATGATAGTCATAGCAATTGTCCGGCCCAGTTCTGAAATGTAGCTATAGAAATTATATGGAACTAACTTGCTTCAGCTCCCTCTTAAGTCCTGTGATCTACTTAATATTCTGTAATCCATAGCTTCCTACTTAGAGTAGATTCTGATCTCTGTACCTGAACTACTAGCATAGTTAGAGCAAAAACACTTTAAGTCAGTGGGATTCAAACATGTAATAACTTACTGGACTTGGAGAGAGACATCAAAACAAGAGTAATTCTCACAAGGTAACTTTATTTCATGTGTTTCTTATTTAGTGGAACATCCAAGGCTTCACCATATGTCTGGCACTTGGAATAAAGGTACGATCATGATCTATTTCTGGTTACACAGAGAAATTCTCGTTTCAACAGTTCATTTTGTTACAGTGGATCCTCTAAGCTATCGATGACTTTACCATTTTTCTTTCTCCATCACAAAAGTCTTTTTGTTCTTAACTAACCTAGGTTCTACCATCTGTAATTAAACCTTCTCGTTATCCCCTCTCCTCTGAATTCTCCTAAAACCTCCCCTTCTCAGTTAAACCCAACTTACTTTGGTGCGTCTCTTCTCCCCTGGTGAGACATAGTTTGGCTCTTAGATGTCTCCAGAATGCCCATTAAAGGATTGGGCCCCAGCTTGGCTCTCTTGGGAGGTCGTGGAGCCAGTAAGAGCTCAGGACTATTGGGGTGGCAGTGTCTTCCATTCATGATGGGACAGGCCTTGAAGTGTAGATTAGGACCCAGCCCCCTTCCTCTTTCATTTGTTTCCAGACATGAGATGAGCAGTTTTGTTTTACCCCATGCTCCCCACTAAGTTGTGCTTCCTCAAAACAGGTTCAAAAGCAAAGTGGCCAAATGTTTATGAACTGAAACCTCCAAAACTATGAGTCCAAACAAACCTTTCTCTTTATAAGCTGATTGTCTCAGGTATTTCTTACAGTGGCAGAAAACTGACCAACACATGCCTGGATATTTTTAAAAATCTGTTGGGCACTCAGAATCAGGAAGAAGAGAGGACCCGAGCTTGACAAATTGCAGACTTTCACTA